TTCTCCCGCTTTGGAAGAGTGGGCCTAACATACAAAATGGCGGCCCATAAGAGCCACTGCGCCTGCGCAACTAGGTGCCCGGGGAGTAAAGAGGAGGGATCGGGATGTTGCTGTGGGTGATGGGCGCCAGATTTGAATTCAGGCGTGGGCGTGGCAACCACGGAGACTGTTATTAAAAGGGAGAGGTTATTGATTAGTTTTCTGATCTGCTATCAGTTTTTTTTCCATCGGGAGTGACCTTTAAACATTCAACAGCATCGAGTCAAGATTAGGAATAACGTTTGCTGGATTAAAGCAGTTCATCCAGTTAGCCACTGGAGGGCGGCATGAAAGTGTCAAATGGGGGTTTACAACATACACACAAATGAAATCGTGAGTGATAATTAGCTGCATAGTGTATGTAAGATGAAAAGAAAACCTATTTAGACTGTTGCCATGGGAAAGTAAGTTCCTGGACCCTAGCTTTTAGGGCTTTTCAATTATAGCCCACCATTAATTATTTGGTTCAAAGGTTTTTTAGTTAACTAACACCAAACTAGAAACAATATAGGTATAAAATATTTAAGTCATATGAAATAAAATAAAAAAGCAGCTAAAATTAAACGGGAAATCTTTTATTTTAGCCTTTGTTTACTAAGACTTGGAACTGGGACCTGGAACTAAACACAAAATTAAGAACAAAAATTAAACATGAGATAAAATAAAAGTAGCTAGAACACGAAAAACTACCATACAACTGAGATAGTGTGCAAAATGTAAACAAAAACAGAATTCAGTGATTTGCAAATCCCATAAACTCATATTTTATCCACACTAGAACACAGATACAAAGTAAATGTTTAAGCTGAGAAACCGCTGGAGGAACATTTTGCAATTAGGTTAATTAGACCCATGATTGGGTATAAAAACAGCATCTTAGAGAGACAGACTTTCTTAGAAGTAAAGATGGGTAGATGTTCACCAGTCTAGAATAAACTGTGTCCACAAACTGTGGAACAATTCCTGATTATTGAAAAATATTGAAAATATCTCTGAATATTGTTCCTTGATGTAAAATGTAAAAATACTGTGAATATGTTATCATCTACAGTACATATTGTCGTCACAAGATTCAGAGAATTTGGAGAAATCTCTTGTGTGCTAGGGACAAAGCTGGAAATCAGTTCTGGATTCCTGTGATTCTGGGGCTCTCAGGCAGCACTGTTTTAAAAGAAGAGAGACAGAGCTGTCTATTTTTTATTACTTTCATCAAATTTAGGAGTACATATACACTAAGTTTATTGTTAGTTAATAAGAAAACTCCAGACGATTCCATTCTGAGATGAAGAAGCTTCTGATAGGTTAGTAGAGTCCATGTGAGTAAATTTGTGGCACAGATGCATATAAGGCAAAACACAGAGCCTGTTTCTTTGAAATGGGAAAATCAAGAGATGTCAACCAAAACACCAGGAAAAGAATTGTGGAGCTCCATAAGTGTGGCTCAATTTTGAATACAATTTGGTGCCATTTACAATTAAGAAATACAGATAGTTTCTCTCTTTACTCTTTATATTTATCAACCTAAAAAAATAAACATTTAGCCTGATTTGATGTTACAATTAAAAAAGTGTATCTGTTTTTATCTGAAGAGTATGTAAATATCTGGTTTCAACTGTATATTTGATGATGTTGGTGTTTGGCTTGATTGTCAGCACAAAGAGGGAGAGAGAGGAACAGAGAGGGAGATGGAGAATGGGGACAGAACAGAGATGGAACAAGAGCAGGTGAGACAGAAATGTTAGTCAAATGGTTGTTTACCAAAAGTATCACCGTATCATAGGTCCTCATGTATCTCGTACCTAGTGTTTCTTTTTAGGTTTGTTATTTTTCAAGTTCTATATTTATTAAGTTATGCAGGCTTGTTTGCACAACAAGGCTAAATAATGATATAAACTTTTCTGAATCTAAATAGTGTACTTTGGCAGAATTAAAAAATAAGTGTGGTGCAGGTCTATGATGATTTTTAGTGCTGCTATCATCTAGTTCTCTTTGTTAAGTCCTGTTGTAGTCCTGTTTTAATTTCGGATCAGTTTGGGGTCTGGTTGAAGTGGGGTTTAGTCCTCGTGTCTTGATACCCCCCCCCCCCAAAAAAAAAAAAAAAAAAAAAAAAAAATCTCACATGCATACTACCTTAACCCCCAGGTGTATCAAATGTCTGCCTCTGCCTCTGCTGGGGCCTATAAAAGTCTTAACTGCCTTGATTACTAGGTACTGGGTTTCCTTTCATAATTTTTATTTGTATTCAAACCTTAAAAACATTGAGCTGAAATGTGCGTAGTGAATAATGATGGAAATGATTGGATGTCGTCATCTGTCAGCTACTTGTCTAATAATTAAGACTCACATTTCTTTATAATCTGTCACAGTTTGGGAAATATTCCACGTTTTGAAGATCAGACTTGGTTGTGTTCAGCTGGCAGACAAAAGCTGCGCAGTACAGTAATTGCCTTTGAACTGTAATGCATTAAAAGCTTAACATTTCTTGAAATGCAAGTACAAATACCTCCGACATTATTTGTGAAAGTCAGTTACACGTGAACACTTGATCCCCTTGTTTGTTCTGAGCATTTCTGGACTGGTGAAGTTTCTCCAGACAACCTGCTGATTAGATGAAATTGTAATCTGAGCACTGCAAGTTTTATTTGATTTCTGTCAGCATAATAAAGAGATCTAAATAACCAAGTTACTTCTAGGTTACAGTGACCTGCTGTAGGTCTGTTCTCATGTTACTTCATGTGGAGAACCTGACCTTTGTTTATAAATGCAAAAACAAGTTGTTTGTGGGTTGTTATTTTGGAAAAGAAACATGAGCTCCATGTAAATACCAGCCCTGGTTTTGATTATCAAATATTCCAACCAGGAAACCAAATTCCCATGAAACCTGCCATATGCGTCCTTTGGAGGATATGCAGCATAATTAAGATGTATGGAAACTGCTGCTAAGGGCGTGTGCCTTATTTAATGGTTCTGGAACGAGTTTTAATTTTTGAAACATAGGAGAGAACAGTGACATAACAGTAAGAGAAGAGCACAGCGATATAAACAGTGAAATACGTGAAAAAGAGACTGTGTGTGTGTGTGAGGAACTGTTGTGGGGGCGTGCACAACTCTATTCAGATCAAAAGCAAACATTTGTGAAGGAGAGAGGGAAAAAAAAGGGAAAGAAAGATAAGAACTACAGAAAAGCTGTTTAAAACGTGTTTTAGATGTTTTAGACGAAAGGAGAAAATAATAATTAGAATTTGTGCAATTTTAGGGTCTGTGTGTGTATACCACACACCCGATATAACTATATATATATATATATATATAAGTATGATATAATAATGACAGTACACTTTATACACTAGAGAGATAAATATGCACAGTGCATAAACACCGGGCTTTTAAGATAACTTAATCCTGTCACCACATGCAGGAGAGGTAGAGTAAAACACAGGCGTTACACTAAATGCATGCAATATGAAGTTTTTCAGAGTGGGTCAGTCTGTCATTAATAGCTTCTTTTCCGCATATGAAATTAATTATTAATTTATTACGTAACCACAGTAAAACATTTTGTGCACTCAGCCTTTTCACACTGGAGTAAATCGGTGCATCCATGCATGTGCGGTTCATGGGTGAGGCTGCAGGGATGAAGCAAATGTTAGGGTGGTCACTTTATCCCTGCCTCCTTATTTTATCACCATCTTTTTTTCCCGTGGTATTCCTCTCACAGAGGGGAGGGGGACAGAGAAAGGCTTGGTTCTGTTGTCAGATCTGTCAGTCTCGCCACCCCGGCCCCTCCCACCTCAGCAGAGGCATTACATACTGCCGCTGCTGCTCGTGCTCTTAGCAACGGTGCCTCGGCAACAGAGCCACGGCAACAGAGCTCCACGGCAACAGCGTGCCGTGTGTCTCCCCAATGGAGCTGCCATTGGGCGGACCGGCGCTCAGGCACTACACCCAGAGCAGACCGAGACCTCACCGACAGAAACTGAACTATCGTCCCAGCAGACCGCAGGTACTGTGCAGGAGAATCAGGGAGGTTTCTGTAAAAATGGAGAGTGAGGGAAAGGTGTGTGTATGTGTTTGAGAGAGAGAGAGGAGGGAAAATGGAAGGGAGGGAGAGAGGAGAGATGGAATAGGGTACAGAGGGGAGAGGCAGGGGGAAGGGAAGGATGGAGGGGGAGTGCTGTAAAAGATGCCTGGTCCCCGGCTTGAATTAGGCAGTGCCATTGTACCGGTCACCGGCTGCTTCAGGAAGCCAATGAAATCTGCCTCTGTGAGTGGGCGCTCGTTTTCTTGCTTTCTCTTTAAAAAAAAGGAAAAAAAAGAAGCCATTCAGTTTCTTCATGTGATCGTGTAAAATATGTGTGTGAGCTCATCCGTTTTCCACTGAGCTGATCACGCTGTCACAAAGCTATTAGGCTGCAGACATTCAGTCACTCCCTTGGAGACAAATGGCCTGGGAGACAAAATTCAAGCAATTCCCCTGACAGGATATCATGTAACGGTGACTTCGGCTAAATTTGCCTTCTGGACTCGAGCCTCCCCCGACTTTCGTTGCTACTTGTGGGCACAGATGTTAATGTGATCAGGACGATGCGGCTCCCAATTTTGATATCACGTTACCTATATTGGCAAAAATGAGTTATGTTGCTTCCATTCAGCGTTTAAAAAATCCAATGACGACCCCCTCCCACTCCACCCCCCAGCACCCATTGTACGTTACTGAGCAACTGAGTCCAGGGAGGCCTGGATCGTAACATAAATGGATGAGAGAATCAAACCAAAATACACCTATAGAGGCATGAGGAGTGCCAGGAGTGTGTGGGTTTTCAGAAGTGATGGTTATGTAATGTAAAGTTACATGCTGTAAGATGCGAGTTGTTCCTTGTTAGTTTGTTTGATCCGTGGCGCAAAATATCTGATTTCTGTGTGTGTGTGTGTGTGTGTGTGTGTGTCTGGGGGGTAATTAGGAGACAATAATCGAGAGTGAAAATGAAGTCCTTGAGCTCATGGGGCGTGTGGATGAAGGAGTTGAAGAGTTCTTTACTAAGAGAGTACTGCCTGCTGATACACTGTGAGTATCACGGCACACAAATTAGCCCCTTCATGTTCACCCGTACAAGTGAATAGACCTTAAACTGAGACATACGACTCTTTGTACAGGAAGCTGCAGGATGAGGAATCTATCACAGTGCACGAAGTGGCTCCTGCCAGCTCTGTCCCTTGTCCAGCCCCGACGAAAACCCTCCGGAGGAAGCTGGGTGATTTCTTTACACTCAAAAAGAGGCGAGGTTTGAAATCAGAGACGAGCCATGAGGGGCGTCCCAAAAAGGCCTCCATTGCTGATCTCATTCGCCCTCTCAGGGAGGTTGCGAGATCCGAGAAAGACAAAGACAAAGACAAAGACCGAGTAAAGGAGCACGACAAGGAAAATGAAAAGGAGAAAGCAAAAGAGGCTCCCACTGCTGTTTCTGGAGAGCCAGCTGTTCGGGAGACACCTGTTTCTGGTGCTCCGCCGCTGAGGGGCGAAGCAGTGCCTCCCCGCCGAGCTCTCAGAGAGGGGAAGTCCCAGTCTCTCATTTTGCTATCTGGCTCAGCAGCAGCGGGGTCGACCAATGCCAGAAACACAGCAAAGGTGGGTGTTGCTAGAGTTAATGCCTGTTTTTTTTTTTGTCTTTTTCATTAGTGGATAAGAACTGAAAATTGGTTTGCTGCTGCTTTTAGAAACAATTTGAAGGCCAGAATAGCTTTGAACAGAAGCTCCATCTCATGCTTCAGCGTATTGGAGTTTCCAAACCCCTGCCAGGAGAGACACAGGTTTGCACATCTGCATGTCTGAATGTTGTTATCGATATCTTAGAGGCCTTAAAAAGTACTAAATGCTCCTTTTTTTATGTAGGATCAAGAAGGAGAGATGAAAAAGGCCGAGTCTGAAGGTATGTGCCTTTATCTGTGAGACGTTTAATAGTCTTCTCAGCTCCAGCGTAGTATTAATGAGGCTAAATTAATCTTTGAAGTCTAGGGATTTGTGTCAAAAGGATAGGCTTCTCGACATGGATCAGTTCTCCAATGAAAAGATTTAGTATCTGAGGGGCTGCGCTGATAAGCCAAGCAGGAGTCTGTGGTTCTTTCAGTCTATTATAGGGCCATTAATTCCTGTGGTAATGATTTTTGCCCTTCAGGTACCATCATTGACAGTAAACCCGAGCCACCTCCCACTTTCTCAAAACCTCGAACGATGTCTGCATCATCAGGTAAAACGCTGGTTTACGCTCTCATGTGTACAGAGTACAGTAAGTGAACCATTTTCACGTTTATTTTGCTTGCTTTTTAGACACAAGGCATCAGATTCGGGCAAGTGTGTCAGCGCACGAAGGAGCCGGGAAACCCGCTCTGCTTCCAAAGCCGGTTATCAAACCGGGGCCACCCCCCACAACATCCGGCCGCAACACACCTGAGAACGAGCTGGCCCAAATACAGGAAGCAGAGACACACACGCCCACTAAACTCAGCCCAGCCGCGGCGCCGTCACCTCCGGCCACCACCGCTCCCGCTGCACCGACAATCTCAAACGCGGTCCCCGACTCGACCGACTTTGAAGCTCCCCCTTCGAGTACTGTAACTCCCTCACACGCAGATGTATGCACTGACTCTCCCGCAGCAATCTCCGTCCCCAAAACTACGACCACACCCACAGAGCCCCCCACCAACGCATCCGTTACCCCCACCTCCTCAGAGTCTGTTACTCCAAGCCTCGCTGTCACTTCCACCTCAGCAGCAACTGTTGCCGGGCCTTCCATTACCACCTCGGAAACTGTTTCTGCTCCCAGTGACGAAAGCCCTGTTTCCACGGCGCCAACAAATCTGTCAGCCAAATCGACTTTGCCAGAGCCAAATGGCGTTCTCTCACTTGATGTTGCTCCTGCTGCTGGTGGTGATGCAGCTATTTCTGTCACCACCACAGCTTCTGCGCCCTGCACCAGCGTGTCAGATGTGCCGCCGGGCTTGTCTACCACCACCATCAGCGAAGTCAGTCATGAACCAGCTTCAGTCACATCCAGTAGCTCTTCAACATTAGTCACTATGACTACATCACCTCCCTCTGACTCAAGTGATGTAATTACAGTAACAATTTCACATGACCCCACCTTTACCACTTCCTCCACCATGGTCTCTGCTGCCCTTCCTCCTACCACCTCAGCACCTTCTACCACTCCTACAGCTCAACCTCAACCCCAATTATCCACTGACTCCATTAACTCCGCTTCTTCATCTACCGCCATTCACCCAGCCACTACGTCCGTTCCCTCCACCTCTTCTAGTGAAACAAACCCTACAGACACCACTTCCACTGCTACCAGTCTGAACCGAGCAGAAACCACCTCCACCGCTAGTTCGTCAACCTCCGGTGCAATTAGCTCCCCACTCACGACTGGGTCAGAGCCACCTTTTCCCAACAATGTTGACACTAAGCTCACACCAACTATCTCTAGCCCGCCCACTACTGATAACACAAGTTCTGCTGCACCACCCGCTAGCGATAGTCCAGGCCAAGATAACGTAATCCAGATATCTGATGAGAGATCCGGTGTAGGGCCTGCAGAAAAAGGCACTGGTGAGTTTTAAGTTCAATTCAATTCAATTCAATTTTATTTATATAGCGCCAAATCACAACAAAAGTCGCCTCAAGGCGCTTCATAGATACAGAGAAAAACCCAACAATCATATGACCCCCTATGATCACAAGTTCTGCTTGTGATCTCTGTATGTAGGTGCATGGTGAATGGTGTGTTTTATTATTATTATTGTTTTTCTTTTAGCAGCAGATGGGGAACAAACGAGCAAAGTACTTGAGGCAGACGAGAAGAAGGAAGTGGTTGACAGTCGGAGTCAGAGTGAGAAACCAACCGTGGCCCAGAGTGAACCGACAACGAAAGAAGAGCGGGAAGAAAGTGTGAAAGCTGAAGCAGACATACCGGCTGAACCTGCAGCAGTGGAGGATGGTGAGCGCTGCACAGAGGAAGCAGTGATAGTGGGTCAAAAGCAAGAGGAAACTAAACCAGTGAGTGATAAGTGAGGAAAAAAAGAAAATGCTAAACATGGGACCAACTACTGTGACGGAGGAGGGGGCAGGAGAGGCCACAGTAAAGGGTGAAGCAGAGGGAGGGGAATGATGATCCATGGCACTTCCTACAGGGACCACCACATCACAGCAGCACACCACAAAGGGTGGGCCACTGGACCAAAGAACTGAGATCCCCTCGGTGTGACGTAATCAACAAATCCAGCAGTGTCTTTGTCCTTTTTTAACTTATGTTTGAGGTTTTGCATTGCACGTGTGATTATGTACCATAAGACAATTATTGTGGTAAAAAAAAATACACAATGTTTACAATAGATGGATAAGAGACATAGTTATGACTATTAAATGGAGTATTGAAGTGACTGTGTGAAATCATTACTTTGAGCAACTTCATCTCAGCTTTTTGTGGAGGTTTTTCCCACATCTCACAATAATCCTCAGCCTCGATTATGGCCACATACACTGACAGATTTTAATTTGATCATAAAAGAGCAACTTTCATCTGCAGAGAATGAAAGTTTGATAATGTTGTTATTTTTATTAAAGTCAAATGCCTTTAACTTTAGCAAATTTATTCGTAAAAGAGTTGTTATTAAAGATAAATGGTAATGTATAAAAGCCTAATTAAACACATTTCATAGCTGGGTCTTAGTGAAACTGGTCTTCTACTTATCATCTTTCAATAAACAACTCTGGTATACAGAGTTGTCATACATCTGAAGACTCAGTCATACATATGAAATAGTATTTTTCCTTTTCATTTCTATGAGGCAGACATTTCCAAGAGTTTCCTTTTTTTCATCGGACTACATTTAACCACTGAACATCTGTGCGAGTTGTGTATTATCAGGAAAGGTGTCACCTTTTGCATGTCAGCTAACTTACATAACAAATTTAATCTCTCAGTTTCGTGCTACCGATTTTGCACATGTATACAATGGCTGAGGACGTTTTTTTTTAAACATATGATTGCCGGTATGCAGAAACTGCATGATGAAAGGCCTGGAGGGTGAAAGGAAACAGTTTAAACACAAAGAGTCTTACTTTAGGTGCACGTGATATACAAGTTCAATATGGAGGGTTAATACAAGAGTTAATACAAAGTAGAAATGAAATGCATTTGTTGTAATTTAGAGGCGTTTCTCATTTGACTTGACTGTGCAGAGCTTCTGATTGTGGATTTCTTTTTGCATCAGATCTAGATCCCTGGTAACCCAAGGGGTTCTGTCCATATTACCCCCTCGAGCAACAAGGGGGGATGTTTGCTGGGCCTGTGGTCTTCCCCTTATCCTGCTGCTTGGCAGATCAATATTCAACATCCTCTGTCCAGTATATCCACAATCCCTCCTCTGCACATGTCCAAACTGTCTTCAGCTTTGCCTCTCAAACCTGACCTCTCCCCCTGACATACCAATTTCTAATCTTGATATAAGAATAAGAATGAAAATATAAAAATGAAAATGTGAAGTGAAAATCTGAACATCTTTTTTTGTTAGTGCCACTGTCTCCACACCATATATCAAAACAGGTCTCACTATCATCCTGTAAACATTCCCTTTCACTTTTGCGGCTATCCTTCTGTCACAAATAAACCCCATCTCCACCTTGTCCCTCCTGCTTGAACTCTCTTTTTCACCTCCCTCGTGCATTGTCAGTTGACCCCAGGTATTAAGACTCATCCACTGTCACTACCTCTGCTCCTTGCAGCTTCATTGTTAAATCTGTCTCTCATCCATTCACAGCTGTTCTGTCTCGCATCTACCAACTTTTATTCATTTTCTCTCTAAAGGATACCTCCACCTGCTCTCTTTCGCCTGGTCCCTAATCTCACAACAGATCACAGTGTCATGTGAAGACATCGCAGTCCATCATAGTCTGGCCTCGTCTGTATTCTTGGGTGGAGGGGCTCAGAGTATACTCCTGATGAAATCTCATCCCCACCTTAAACCCATCTGTCTTTGTCCTGCACCACCCACACATACTTCCGACTCGTGCCTTTAATATACAATAGAAAAAATCCAAAATAAAAAATAAAATAAACAAATATTTTATAAAATATATATATATATATATTTTTTTTTTTTTTTTTTTAATGTAAAACAGGTCATTTTTGGTTAATTTACACTTCAATTTTCACTGACACACCCTTTTATAGTTCGCTACATATCAAATACGAAGTAACGTCTCAGATCCAGACCAGCAGGGGTCGCTGGCGAAGAGTCTCCCCCACCACAAAGCCGCACTTCACCCGGAAGAGGAGCGAGGTTAACAACGGCGGAGACATTTGTTGTGGAGGGTCGGCGGCGTTTCTGAAGTAATTCATATAATCCAATAAATAACCAGCTCCCAGCGGAGGTGCTTTCTTTCCGGCGGGTTTAGTGTCGCTGAGCATACGCTAGAGATGTCGGTCCCGCCTCCCAGCCGCTCGTCCACCGGCTGGCCGCGCTCCGCTCCCGTCCAGTTTGGGAACAAATACGGGCCCGCGAAGCCGCTCACACTGGAGAGGACAATCAACCTGTAAGTCCGTGTGGCTCATTCTAAAAGCACCGCACACGTAGCTGGTCTCACTACCGTCGTGGGGCCGTTAATTATCGCACACCGAGGAGTCAGGATGCAGCGCGACCTGCTTGGTTCGGTTAATTGTGATCGCTGCAGGACGAAGCCACTTAGCGGGTCGATGTCTGTGGTCCTATCAAGGCTTTGTGAGGGTTATTCTGAAAGTAAAACATGGGAAAAACATATCGGCTGTAACTCTGACATTATAACCGAGCTTTGGTGTTTATTTCACCTGAACGTAGTTGAAAAATTTTGACTTTTAGTTACAGGTGTAACTAATTATTCCCATTATCAGTGTTGGAGACGAGACGTGATTTAAATGTGATTGCCATGAAGTTGCCTGACATGTAACGAAGTCTTCACTTAGAATATTAAGAATATTTACAAAATTACATTCAAATAATATTAAGGAATTTCTAAGAATTTATGAAGGTTAAAAGAAATGTCTCAAATTCACAAGGGCTCTGGAAAAAAAGGGCTCTTTGTTTATTAACGTTTGAAATCGAATCATCCGTCAATCAAGAAAATAACCAATTAGTCAGCTCTAATAAATTAATCTGACATTTTTTCTCCAATTATGATTTTTTTCAGAAAATAAATATTTCTAAGAAAAAAATGAATTTGATAAATACTCCATCACGTTCTTTTGTTTTTACATGTTTTTACAAAAAATAAGGAAAAAACAAACTAGGGACTTAATCAGGTTGATTGTGGCAGCTGAAAGCCTGAATTAAGCAGTGAAATGATATTTTTTGGGGTGCTTTTACTTTTTAAACATGGATAAAATCTGGGTTTTAACTGTTTAATGAACAAATTTGAACAGCCCTGAATAATTAAGTAAAACCAGTTATTTTCTTGAGAAAAACCTTTGTTATAGCCATAGATTAGAATAATAAAACATACGAAGAATTTTTTAATGTCTCCCACAGCTTTCTGTGTGTGTGTGTGTGTACCCCGCTGTGGGTATCTCCATTTATGCTGAAATGCCTTCTTGTGTATTTTCCTGTCAGATACCCCCTCACCAACTACACATTCGGTACCAAGGAGCCGCTGTATGAGAAGGACAGCTCGGTGGCAGCCCGGTTCCAGCGAATGCGGGAAGAGTTTGACAAGATGGGGATGCGGAGGACAGTGGAGGGTGTCCTCATTGTCCATGAACACAGACTGCCTCATGTTTTGCTCCTGCAGCTGGGCACAACTTTCTTTAAACTGTGAGTGTCTGATTTCAGAGCTCTACTGTGTGAACAAACTGAGGTAGTTTTTCCTGCACGGGTGCCTCACAGTTTTCTTCTCTGCTGCAGGCCTGGTGGAGAGTTGAACCCTGGGGAAGATGAGGTGGAGGGTTTGAAGCGCCTGATGACCGAGGTAGCTACCAAACTTTGAGTTTAGTGTCATTGTGCTGGCTGCTTTGATTCTGTGTGTATTAACTTCAAATTTGTTGTTAGATCCTTGGACGGCAGGATGGTGTGAAGCAGGACTGGGTGATTGATGATTGCATTGGTAACTGGTGGCGCCCCAACTTTGAGCCTCCACAGGTCAGTACAAAGAAGATGATCAGAAGGATATTTATGATACTTTAACTAGGGATGCATCAAGCCAACCCTTTCCAGGTCTGATCCGATACAGATACCTTGGCTTCAGGTATTAGCCTATACTGAGTACAGAGCCATGTAATTCTTACTGTGAGGAAGAAACTTGGAATAAACATTTGGCTCAATTTAAACATTGCTCTACAGCCAGTGGTACTGCTACACTGTGCAATGTGGATGAAATGATGAAGAAAGAGGACCACCTCCAAATTCTTCAACTTCACTGCATATCAACAGATGTATGATTTACAATCATTCCACCCTGGAAGAAGAACAGTTCAACAGAATGACTGAAATTAATATTAGATTCATTTTTATATCAGTCATGTTGGATATTGTCACATCTACATCTTGATGTGAACTAATCTGAAGTTTTTGCCCTGCAGTATCCCTATATTCCAGCTCACATCACTAAACCTAAAGAGCATAAGAAGCTGTTCCTGGTCCAGTTGCAGGAAAAAGGTCAGTGTATCTCAAAATTTCTTTTATGTTTAATTAAAATAAGTAAAGACTTAGATGAGTCTCTTTGGTTGTTTCTGAAATCTGTGTTTGATGTTTGTACAGCACTGTTTGCTGTGCCCAAAAACTATAAACTGGTGGCTGCACCGTTGTTTGAACTGTATGACAACGCTCCTGGATATGGACCGATCATTTCCAGTCTACCACAGCTGCTGAGCAGGTAATGTTCAGGACTTTTGCATGCGTTTGGACAGAAAATAGTAGAACTGCAATGTTTTCGAGTGATGCAGGGATTCCTCAGAGCAGAGGGATGCGCTGTGAAATAACATAGCAGGGTTTCTTTCTGGTCGCTGGCAGTGTGCACAAATGCACAAAGTTTGCACTCCGATCAGAGACATTATCAACACAACAGGTGATAAAACATATAACAGCAAAATGGAAGACTATTTCTGCAAATTAGACAAGAGATTGATGCTGCAGAAGATCATTATGTATGTGAATTCTTGAGGTAATATATTTATTTGACCAATCCGTGCGCTCTAATGGCTGCATTTTTTTTCCTTAAGGGCCCATTATACCATCATATAACATTGTCTTCCAGGCAATGAGCAAGTGATGTCACATCTGTTTGTGCAAGCTGTGCACAAAGAGATGTGACATCAGTGTGATGTGCATATGTCAATTTTTGTAACCTTGTATGTTTGCTTTGGGGTGGTTGAAGAGATGAGTGCATGTTTGTGTTAGTTTTTACCGCTTTTGAATTGCATATCGGTGCAGAAGCTCAGATGTTGCACCAGCTTGAAAAGACTTTCTGGAGAAAACTGGGAAAAGGTTTCATCTGCAGCCAAAAACACCCGTGGCCTCAGTGCCAGGACAAATGGCACGGCACTGTTTGTGTACCAAACAGCCAATCGGGCGACCATAATGATCCCTTAATGTGTCAGCTGCACATTTGACCTCTCAATCTGTAAGACTTTATGTTGCTTGGTGTGTTTAGTTATGATAGTCTTCTATACCATAATAAATAAGGCTTCAAAGTGCATATAGTTTATATAGCTGAATATTCTCAGTGATAAATGGCTTACAAATGTAACCCATCGATTTTCAAATCTGTGTCGCAATGGCTGGAATTTCCATTCGGCAAAAGGCACGAGTATAAACTTTTATGCATCATTAACTTGACACAAATTCCAGTGACAAAGTGATGCACACAGTTTGTGCTGCTGCAACCTTACAGAGGAGCTTCACTAGCTTGTGTTGATGAGGTATGGCTCAGTGCGTTGAACGTATGTGTTTCTTATAGCTACGTCCCAATTAGCAGCTACGTCCCAATTCAGTGGCTGCGCCCTTCAAAGGCCGACCAGAGCTGCTGCTAAATGAGGTGGCCTAGCCTCTCATGTGCTGCTTCTGTTGCCTAGCAACCATGACACTAACAGGTAGTGATGAGCCCACAGCCGGTGGCACACAATGAAACTTGGGATAGGGTGGCCTATGAGGGATGCACTCAGCATATCCTTGAAAGCCTGGGAAGAGGACACATTTGTAGGTCACTTTCGAAGGAGCCTTCGGAAGTGAACGGCCCTCTGTCCTGCTGTGATGTAATCGAGCTGGTGTTCAAAGGATGCAGCTACTGAAGTGGGACAGAACTTAAAAGGTTTTTCCCTCAATACATGAAATCATCACATTATTAGCTGAATTTTGTATTTGCTCTTTGTCTAGTATTAAAATTAGTTTGATCTGAAACACGTGACAAATTGGGGGGGTTGTGAAGAAATGATGATGGGATTTTAAATCCAAACTGTGAGCATAACTGAGCACGTTAGCTCTAGCCAGGTTAAAAACAGCTACTTCCTTTGTAGTAA